CATATCCCTGATAACTAAAACTTGGCAAAGGTATAACAAGAAAAATAAATTATAGACCAGCTTTCATCATGAACAAAGACACAGAATACCTAATCCGATAGAACAAAACATATTATATACTATATAAAATAATGCATCAAAATCAAGTGAGATTTATGCAGACAATACAAAATTTATTTAAAGACTGAAAATCAATCAGTGCAGTCCAGTGTATTAACAAAATAAAGGAGAGATCAACATGATCCTATCACTACATGCTTACAAAATACTTAAGAAAATAAGCACTTTATAATAAAACTGAGCAAAGTAGATATTGAAGACAACTTTTTCAATCTGATGAAGGGCATTTATAAAAAATTTAAAGGTGGCACCATGCTACAGATCAAATATAGAATTCTGTCCCTTTATGATCAGAAACAAGGCAAACTGTGTTTTCTTCTCTCTTCTGTTCAACATTTTACTGAAGATTCTAATGATAGCAATACAAGTGGGGGGGATAAAAAGATTGGAAAGGAAGAAGTAAATCCAACTTTATTCACAGATATCAAAAAGAAAAGGAAAGCTGCTAGAACCAAAAGCAAATTTAGGAAGTTCTCAATACAGAATGTCAGTATGGAGAAATCAGTTGTATTTCTACATACTAGCAGCAAATAGTTGGAAAATGAAATTAAAATCGGTTCTCCTTTGGATGGTATCAGATAAAGTAGAAATAAATTTAACAAAAACATTCACCAAAAGCTTCAGACATTGCCAGTAGAAATTCAAGGAAACCTAAATAAATGGAGGAATATGCCATGTTAATGGTAAGAAGATTCAGTAGTGTTAAAATGTCAGTTTTTCCCAAATTGGTCTAAAGATTTAACTTCCCAAGCAAAATCCCAGCAGGCATTTTTTTGTAGAAATTAACAAGCTGATTTTAAAGTATATATGTAAAAAAAAAAAAAAAAAAAGGACCTAGAACACTCAAATCAGTCTTGAGAAACAGGAGCAAATCTGGATAACTCACACTGCCTGACTTTAAGACTTACTACAAAGCTACAATAATGGTGACACTGTGATATTGATCTAAGGATGGGTAAGTAGATCAGTGGAAGATAATAAAGAATCCATACATCGTTGCTTAATTCTCCATAAAGTCACCAGCTCAGTTCATGGGAAAAGAAAAGTCTTTTCAATAATTGACACTAGAACAATTGGATATGTATATTTAAAAAAAAAAATTAGTTATAACCCCAGCCTCAGACCATATATAGACATACCTTGGAGATACCACAAATTTAGTTCCAGACCACCACAATAAAGCAAGTCAAATGAATTTTTTTGTTTCCTAGTGCATTTAATCTGTTAAGTGCAATATCATTATGTCTGAAAAGACAAATGCACATACTTTAATTAAAAAAATACTTTATTGCTAAAAAGTGCTAACCATCAGCTGAGCTTTTAGTGAGTGGTAATCTTTTTTGCTACTGAAGGGTCTTGTATCCATATTTATGGCTGCTGATTGAACAGGGTTGTGGTTACTGGAAGTTGGGCAATTTCTTAAGACAGTGGAGTTTGCCTCATTGATTGACCCTGTCACAAATGATTTCTCTCTAGCATATGATGCTGTTACTTCTTTGAAAATTGGAGTCAATCTTCTCAAACCCTGCTGACTATTTTATCAGCTAAGTTTATATAATATTCTAAATCTTTTGTTGTCATTTCAACAATCTTCTCCAGGAGTGGATTCCATTTCAAGAAACCACTTTCTGTGCTCTTTCATAAGAATTCTTAATCCATTAAAGTTTTATCATGAGATGGCAGCAGTTCAAATATAAAAATAATGAAAAAGCTTGAAATATTACGAGAATTACCAAAATGTGACACAGAGACACAAAGTGAACAAGAGTTGTTGGGAAAATAGCTCCAAGAGCCTTGCTCAATACAGGGTTGACACAAATCTTCAATTTTAAAAAAATGCAATATCTACAGGGGCGCCTGGGTGGCTCAGTGGGTTAAAGCCTCTGCCTTCGGCTCAGGTCATGATCCCATGGCCCTGGGATCGAGCCCCGCATCAGGCTCTCTGCTCAACAGGAAGCCTGCTTCCCCCTCTCTCTCTGCCTGCCTCTCTGCCTACTTGTGATCTCTGCCTGTCAGATAAATAAATAAATAAATCTTTAAAAAAAATTAAAAAGGCAATATCTACAAAGTGCAATAAAGCAAGTTGTGTCTGTATAAAAATGTATTTGAGATAGATTATAGATCTAAACATAAAACTAAACCCATTAAGCTTCTGGGAAAAAACGAGAGAATATACTCAGGATCTAGGATATTCAGAGTTTCTTAGGGCACTAAACAATAACCAAAAAAGAAAAAAATTAAGTTAGTCTTCATCCAAATCAAAAACTTTTATTTATTCAGAGACCCATTAAGAAAATGAATAGGCAGACTACAGGATGGGAGGAAATATTTTCAAGCAGATATCTGACAAAGAACTTGTATCCAGAATAGATAAAGAACTCAACAACTTAATAATTTAAAGTTAAGAAGAATTTAATTCTTCCCTTCCAAGGAATTCATCTGAGTGAAATATTAAAATATGTCCACTAAAAAACAAAAAAATTGTGCAAGAAAGCTTATGGCAGAAATTTGCTATACAACATAGTGCATATAGTTAAGAGTACGGTGTTGTACACTTAAAAACTTAAGAAGGTACATCACATGCTAAGTGTTCTTATACCAAAGGAAAAAAGAAACACAAATCTTTTGGTAGTAATAGATATGTTTATAACTTGATGTATCTCAGATGTATGCATATGTCCAAATTCCAGATGTATGCATGTGTCCAAGTTTTTTGTATATTAAGTATACCTTAGTAAAGCTAGAAAAAGAAAATTTATGGTAGCTTGATTCACACTAATCACTAATTCACACTAATCAAAAACCAGAGACAGTGCAAACATCTGTCAACAAGTGAATGGATAAATAGTGATATATTTATACAGTGAGATACAGCTCAACAATAAATAAGAACACACACTACTTATGTACAAACATGAATGAATCTCAAAACCATTATGCAGAGTAGAAGGTGACAGCACAAAAGAATACATACCATTTGATGCAATTTATTTGAATTTCTAAACTAAGTGAACTCATTAAGATGGGAGAAAAAACTCAAACTCTGATATTTTCTTTGTGGGAATGCAGAGAGGAAGGACTGACTGGGAAGTAACACAAAGAACTTTCTGAGAAATCAGAAATGTTCTATTCCAGGATAGGAGGATGGGTTACTCAGGTATATCCATTTGTCAAAATTGTGTGGCTATGATTTGTACATTTAGTGTATATGAGGGGTGCCTGAGTGGCTCAGTTGTTAAGCATCTGCTTTCCGCTCAGGCCATGGTCCCTGTGTCTGGGATTTGGGCCTGCGTCAGGCTCCCTGCTGAGCCAGGAGCCTGCTTCTACCTCTCCCACCTCCCTGCATGTGTTCCCTCTTTGTCCCTCTCTCTCTGTCAAATAAATAAATAAAATGGTTTTTTTTTTTTTTGAAAAGTGCTGTAAATGATAACAATTGAAAAGGAACCTGGGAATAGGTAGAAGGATAAATAAACCAAGAATGGCAGAGTACTGATAAGTTGAAGCTAAAGAATGTTTGGTTTATTACAAAATTCTCTTTACTTCGCTATGTTTAAAATTTTCCATTGTAAAAATTTTTAAAGGAGACACAGTAAGCAAAGGGAGAAAGGTATTGAGTTCAGCATTATATATTTGACTATCAACTTAAAAAATAAGGATAAAACAAATGTAAAACTTTTCAACACTTTTTCCCTAAAATAATTGTGGGGGAGATGTGGAAAAGTTTGAGGGACTACGAGAACTAGAGATAAACCATTTGCCTAAAACAAACATGATAGAGGCAGCAAAACTTGAGATAATTAATTTGGAATTTAGTTGGAGCAATTTTCAAACTATTAATAAAGAGGTAGCCTAGAAAAAAATGAGTGAAGGTTTGTCTCCTAATTCATTTGAATCCATAGTTTCAGATTTTGTCTACATTTAATTTAAAAAAAAATTTTTTTTTAATTTGCTTTCCATATGAGGATTGGTACAAATGACTCTGAAAGGTAGGTTTTTAAATGTATTCAGTCTCAGGGTACTGTTGACAATTTTATATATGGCAGAACTGTAGGTTTTTACATTATTTTGATGCTTGGGGCACCTGGATGGCTCAGCTCAGAGTCTGCTTGGGATTCTCTGACTCTCTCTATGCCCCTCCCCCTGCTCCTGCTCTCTCGAGCTCTCTCACTCTCTCAAATAAATAAATAAAATATTTTTTAAAAATTATTTTGATGCTTTACAAATGCATAAGGGGAAGAAGACCATTTTTATATGGTATAAGTAGCTTCTGAAGAGCTATATACTTGAGGGGCACGTGGGTGGTTCAGTTGGTTAAGTGACCAACTCTTGATTTCCTCTGAGGTCAGGATCTCACATGATCTCAAGATTATGAGATCGAGCCCAAAGTCAGGCTCCACTCTGGGTGTAGAGCCTGCTTAAAGAGTGTTTGTCTGTCTGTCTCTCTCTCTAAAAAAAAAAAAAAAAAAAAAAAAAAGATTCTCCCTCTTCCTCTCCCTCCCCCTTTAAAAAAAAAAGGCTATATACTTGGAAATGTGGCCGTAAACTAACAGTGATACAAAAAATTAATTATGAATCAAAGTTCCCTTGAAGAATGACGGTAATCTTGAAGTTTTTATAGAGTAATGTCTTTGGAATATGTATTACGTAAACCAGCTTTCTTAAGAGGAAGAAAATGATTCAAATTTTAAGAATGTAAGTACTCCTTTAATTCTTACATGATTTAAGAAAAAAAAAGTACAATATTAGCTATAATGCAGAATTTAGGTTGCTACTTAACAATTAGTATATATTTTATAATGAAAACTTAGCATCTGTTTCTTAGGCTATTTTGAACAGTCCAGTAGCCACACAGCTGAATTCATGTTTGCTATCTTTTTAAGCTACAGAAGATCATAAGTAAACAAGATGACTTGAAGACGACAACACCTAATGAAACAGAATGCCAGGTATGTGCAAATAAACGGAGTATTTCCAGACAGATGATATTTACAGTAGTTTCTCTCTTCTGTTTGTCAAATAAATATTCTCACATCATTGGGAAAATTATCAGTAACTTCATTTTTCTAAATATTTTGAATAGATGTGCTACATTCACATGGTCCAAACTTCAAAAGATTCAAAAAGAGTGTGTGCAGAGGGCAGCATTTTCATCCCAGTCACCCAGTTCTCCCTGCCAGTGAGTGCTTTAAGTGTCCTGTATATTTGCCCAGAGATACCTCATGTGTGTATAAGTGTATCTATAAAGAAGTAACTAAATACATCCATGTGTACTTTTTTCTACTTTTCTGCAAGGAGTAGCACAGTGCATTGTTTCACACTCTCCCGTTTTTTCCTCAATACGTCTGAATATCTTTTTAACAGTGCCATAGTGCTTTCTTGTATGATGTACTAGTATATGTAACCATTCCCCTCTTTAAAAACAGTATATCCAGTTTTAACGTTTATCCAGTCCCTTGATAATGCAAATAATGCTACTGTTAATAATCCTGTAATGTATCTTTTTATATATATGTGAATATATCTGAGGGATAACTTCCCAGAAATGTGATTGCTAGGTCAAAAGGTATGATATTTCTAAGGTAGTTGATAAATTTTGACAAATTTGCCAAGTATCTCCTATAGAAAATGAAACAATTTTCATTCCCACCACTAATGTATATCAGTAAATTTTCTGTTGATAATCTCGCAGTCAGCTCTAATTCCACAGCATGCTTTCCATGAGATTTCCTTAAATTTCCAAATTATTTCATCTTTTTAGAGCATGTCTGCTTCAAATTTTGCAAATTATTAAAATCACAATTCTTTCTTACATTTCATCCCTTTGAGCAATCCTGTGCTGGACTTCCTTTTCCCACATCTGAATACTTGAATGGTATTCCCTATTCCTAGATGAATATATCCTGTGTGTTCCCATCGTACCCTGTATGTCCACCATCATAACACCTCTCACACATTAATATAATTGTCTGTGTCCTCCTCTAAACTGTAAGTATCATTTCTCTCTTTTCAGTTGTTTGAAGTTAGGGAGCAGTCCACGAGACCACTTACATTTTTTTTTTTTAATTTCTTTTCATTGTAACAGAATTCATTGTTTATGCACCATACCCAGTGCTCCATGCAATACATGCCCTCCATAATACCCACCACCAGGCTCACCCAACCTCCCACCCCCCGCCCCTTCAAAACCCTCAGATTGTTTTTCAGAGTCCATAGTCTCTCATGGTTCATCTCCCCCTCCAATTTTCCTCAACTCCCCCTTCTCTCCATCTCCCCATGTCCTCCATGTTATTTCCTATGCTCCACAAATAAGTGAAACTATATGATAATTGACTCTCTCTGCTTGACTTATTTCACTCAGCATAATCTCCTCCAGTCCCATCCATGTTGATACAAAAGTTGGGTATTCATCCTTTCTGATGGAGGCATAATACTCCATAGTGTGTATGGACCACATCTTCCTTATCCATTCATCTGTTGAAAGGCATCTTGGTTCTTTCCACAGTTTGGCGACTGTGGCCATTGCTGCTGTGAACATTGGGGTACAGATGAAACCACTTACTTTTGATAGCAGTTGCAAGTTCAGGGGACCCCAAGACTACCCTTGGGTTCCATTATTCACTGGAAGGACTCAAAAAGCTAACTGAAAATTGTTAGGTTCATGGGTAGTTTATTACAATGAGCAGATACAGATTAAAATCAGCCCGTGGAAGACACACATGAGGCAGAGGTCCAGAAAGTTCCACAAGCAGAGGTTCCAGTTGTCCTCTCCCCACGGGGATCATGGATAGCACTAACTCTCCCTACAAGGTATATAACAGTACACATGGAGGGGTGCCAAATAGGGCCCTAATGTCCAGAGATTTTTTTGGGGTCAGCTATATAAATTTGTTTGGATACCCATGTTGCTGACCCCCGTGTCTAGCCATTCTGGATGTGGTGCTATACCCCATGACCCAAGCCACCACCCTAAACCTCATGGTTAGTCTGGTATGGCCCAAGGCCCTCAAGCAAACAAGATACTTACCATAGAGATGACCTCCCAGCAGCCCAGGACAAAAGCCAGACCTCTATCTGGGTATGGTAAATTCTTTACTGCATGAGTTGTATCTATATAGTCTGGTAAAGCACCAGAGCATGCTCTAAATGTTCAATAAATATTTTTAAATGAATGAACAAGTATTTAATTATATGAATATGACATTTTTATTATTGATCATTAAGATTGTTTCCAAATCTTTGCTGTTAGAATCATGCCCCAGTAAATAGTTAAACGTGTGAATTTAGGACAGTGTTCTAAAGGTGAGATCGTTGGGTCAAAAGACGTGGATACTTGTAAGACTTTTGATTCATATGGTCAAACTGCCTTCTAGAAAGGTTAAAACAGTTTACAGTCCTACCACCATTGAGTAAACATGCCCCCCTGTGAACAGTGTCTCCAGGATTGGTATCTGTTTTTGTTCTGTTTTTTTTTAAGTAGTGCCAGTTAGATAGGGGAAAAGGTATCTCAGTTACTCTTTTTCAAGATATTTCTTACAAATTTTCTGTTCTTTGGGAATTTCTTTAGATTTCTCTTCATATTTACTTTTAAGAGTACTTTTAAAAATTTTTTCAAAATTATTGAAATATTTATCAGATTTGGTTTTGTTTATGACATTTTGGTTATAGATATTATTTTTTACGTGGTCATATTTATTTGTCTTTTAATTTTATTCATCTAACTACTTTCATTTTTTTAAATCAAAATCAGTTATAAATACTAACCTGTATTATCCTCTCCTTTAATTATGCTTTTGGACTTTTACATTTAATTTTTTCATTTATCTGAAATTTGTTTCTGAAGGGCATCCCTAGTGACATTACTTTTTTACTGTTATAAATGGACTCTTTTCCCTCAAGGGAAGAATTACTGCACAGGAAATCTATCTGATTTTTATTTTTAGCCTGGCTTCCTAGGAGTCACTGCTGTGTCACACAGTTTTAAGTGTCCAGCCAGAGACTGTACTAAGACCACAGAGATAATAAGGTGCATCCTCCCTTCCCCCCTGCCGATGTGTCTGTGTAAGGTTGGAAGTACATTCACATGTAAGCTCTTTTTAAACTGTCAGTGCACACACCTGTGTCAGCTCTTTGTGCCAAGGATGTGTGGGCAGCTGGAGCTGGTATGGTCTCTGCTAAATGTGGAGCACAACCTAGGGTACAAGGAGAGCACAGCAAGTCCTTATGGTTGTCTCAGCTCCTCAGACTTTCAAGTACCTGACCATCTGAGTCTATTGCTTGCTCCAAAGAGGACTGCAGTCTCGCTTAAAGGAGCCACCAAGATCACCTGCAGACTCCCTCCATCAGCAACAGGGAAACTGGTTTTGGACAGCCTGACACTCTCTGGTAGAACTCCCATAGGGTAAAACTGAAAAGGCAAGAGGGCCATAGACATTTGCTGCCCAAAGTTTAATAGTTAATTTGAAAAATGCTTCTCACTTTATTATGTGCCTTTGGTTGGATTCCACGGTCCTGAATAGTTGTGTTATGACCATTTTGTCCAGCTGTTTGCTTTTTGGGGAAAACCTTTTTTGTCATTCTGTCCTGTGGGAAATCAGAAGGCAGTTATCACATTTTAATTGGCCAATAGGTTTACATTGACTTTTAATAAACATGGTGAGTAAGTTCCAAAAGCAAATATTTTAGGTAAACCAATATAGGTAATAAAGTATAAAAGTTTACCTTTTAAAATAAATGCCATACTATATACCAAAAGCATGAACTTCAGTGCATTTTGATGCAGCTTATATTAATGACACTGACCATTTAATAATTAACTAGTTTTTAAGATACATGAAAAATAGATTAATATTTTAAAGATCTAGGGAATAAAATGTGCAGCATAGGGAATATTGTCAGTGGTATTGTAGTAGTGTTGTTTGATGACAGGTGGGAGCTACAGTTGTGAGCACAGCTCACATACAGAGATGTTGAATCACTGTTGTGCACCTAAAACTAAAGTAACATTGTGTGTCAACTATGCACAAATAGAAAAGTTCAGAAACAAACAAAAAAATACTTAAAAGAATTAAATAAAGAAAACTATAAATAAATTTTAATTGAGGAAATAAGAGAAGATTGAAATAAAGGTAGGCTTTATTCTTAGGTAGGACTAGTGAGCCTTGTGAAGTGACCAATCCGCAGTAAATTATGAATTCAGTACAGTCTACATCAGAACTCAACACCTGAGTACCTGATTTCAGTTTTGTTTGGTTATATTTTGAGGTTTGGGGGAAGGAGTTGGATGGTTTCTTCTTTGGTGATAGTGTTTGAGAGGTAAGAGGTGTACAGAGACTTGCCAAAATGCTTTTAAACTTCATCTGAGAGAATAAACATGAGAGAGTAGCCAAGAATAGTCTAGAAAATGCAAGTAATGAGAGGGGTGATGAAATGGTATAGTGAGCAATAGAATACTCAAATAAAATAAACCCAAATACATATGAGCAATAGCATATAATATAGATATCATTTTAAATCAGTAGGAAAAAATTACCAAATTACTTTTCAGTAATCCAGAAAAAAGGGAGTAATCTCCTTACCTCTCATATCCATTTAGTCACTAGGTACTGTCTGTTCTGCCTCTTGAATGTGTCTCAGATTTGTTGTTGTTGTTGTTCTTTTTCCATGACTATCATTTTATCAGACTACCATCACTTCTCATTTCATTTACTGCAGTGGCCTCCTAACTGATCTCTCTGCATCCTCTCCTGTCTTTTCTAATTCATTTTCATATTATAGCCAGGGTGACCTAAAAGCACAAATATGATATAACAATAGCCAAAATGTAGAAGAGGCCAAAATGTCCTTCAGCAGATGAATGGATAAAGAAGATGTGAACCATATATACAATGGAATATTACTCAACCATCAGAAAGGATGAATACCCATCATTTTCATCGACATGGATGGAACTGGAGGGGATTACGCGAAGTGAAATAAGTCAAGCAGAGAAAGACAATTACATGATTTCATTCCTATGTGGAATATAAAGAATAGCATGGGGGACCACGGGGGAAGGGAGGGAAAACTGAATGGAAAAAAATCAGAGAGGGAGACAAACCATGAGAGACCCTGGACTCCGGGAAACACTGAGGGTTACAGAAGGGAGGGAGTGGGGGGAATGGGGTAACTGGGTGATGG